AAAGCAAAAGAAATTGTTGTTTAGGAAAATAATTGTGTATGCTGACTGAATGTTATCGAGAAATGTCGAAATTAATCACAAACTACCTGTTTCGTTAGTAATGACTACTAGAACTGTTTGCATTGCCATCTAACATTTGCGGGCGGAAACTAAGTTAAGGTCCTAATATATATATCCTAAGACTATTAGAGATGGGTCCCCTAAACAGCACTAGTACCTGTTATTATTCAACACAGCGCTTTTGTGTCATTTGATATGATTATTATTTCATTATATAATATATGCCATACACACACGCAGTAATCCTTCTGACATGCATTAGCTTCCACCTTGTCCCGACAGCTTAAAAACGCTTCAACTTTGAGTGCGGATAAGAACAGATGATGTTCTCTCTCCTTCTCTCTCTCCCTCTCTCTCTCCCCCTCTTTCTCTTCGTAAGCTGCGCAACGCGAGTAGTTAATGCTTCGCTGAATATTCACGAGTAGTTTCGTATAGTGACCCTACACATCCCTCGTCTATTTAACGCATGCGGGCGTCCGTGCGCGAAAACTCGCCGCCTCGGACCGTCTCTAATTTGAGACAGGATTCTGCATCTATAATTTGGATATACGTCCGCTCGCTCGCTCGCGAGTATCACGAACTCTCATCGCTCATCTCTCTTTGATGTTAATTTACGAGACGGCTCGACGTCACTTAATTAAACGGGACACATGCATTTCTCTCGAACGCCGGACAAAAGTTCGCGAGGAAATTTACGATTTGTTAAATGGAACACGCGACGAGGTGTCTCTCCCCGTTATAATTTCAACACATTTCACTTTCTTACATTTCTTTTATTTCACTACAATTTTATCAAGGGTGATACATTTTATTATATATGACAGCAGCCAATAATTAGGGAAGGTAAAAAATAAATAGTACTAAACGATATACATAAAGTTTTAAAAGAACCCGACAGTTCGAAAAGAAAAACTCTACTAATCTTCGTAAAATATATATATACTCAAATAATTATTACGACATGATACAAAAGATTCGATATCTCTCCATGGTCTGAAGGAGCTAAACTCATTTTTGCCATATGATACATTGCGTATGTCGTATACGTTGTATAAGTCTGTACGTTGTGTACAGTTTTGTATTCTGTTTATGTTCTCATCCGCTTTACATTTCGATTTGGCAGTTAATAATAACGGACAGGATTGCTTACATAATGTCAAAATAGTTTCCTCCCATATCTCCCCAGCGTCGAAATCTATTTGAAATCCTGCAATCACATTTGGACGCGTATAGTATTTAAAGTTTACATAATCGTGATATAACATTTGATAAGATTGAAACAATAGCTTCTTCGAAGTGCATACTGAACAAAGATCGATACTCCAGTGTTCGGTACATAATTCTATTCCTATCAGTACAACTGTTAGTTCTTCTAGATCAGGATTAAGATGCAGCAGAAGTTCCCAAGCTGGCAAATATTCCTTATCTAAATTGTTCGCAGCTATTATATGAATAACACATACAGGACTTTGTACTTCGAGAAAATCTAACAATTTTGCATGCATCATTCCATAAAACAGAGTCAGCGGTGCTGATACATAATCGGAATAGTAATATTCCTTAAACCCCCATACTTGATTTAGATTCACATATTGATTAATAAATGTTTCCATATTAGTAAGCAGACTTTTGGAATTAATCGTGTGTAATTTCAACGATGTAGTAACATTACTTAACATCGTTTGCTGGATATCTAAATTGAGACATAACAACAGCTGCTTGCAAGTCGAACTTTGATAATGAGTGCGTATATACGAGTCTGCATGTTCAGTACAATAATTTACGGAATAACATGACGAGCAAGTGTATAGATTCGTTTCTTGATGACAAATTAGACATGATCTTGCAAACTGGAACATTTGGATTTCGTGCGGCTTTAATAGACGTGGAAGCGTCTTCATTACTAACCAGTAATATATTTTCTTTGCTTCTAGCCATTCGTTCATATTTAATTGGCGCACATCACGTTGCGGCGCCTCTGTTGAAAGTGTTGTTATGATTCCGCAGATCTGCGTATGATACGGCTCGTCGAACTGTCTATGCTCCGTGTCGCAGTAAAATATCATGTTACACCGATTACAAGGCATCAAAGTATCACTGGTCGTTTTGCAAACGTGACAAATATTCGGATTGAAGAAAGTATCATAATAATCAGGCGTCTGCGGTGCGAAATATTGTAGCAAAGTACTGTCCTCCATGCTGACACTTTTATTTAATTCACGACAATTGACACCTTATTTGTAATATCAATTTAAAAGTAATGTACTTGGAACTCGGCATCTTAATATATTTATGATAGGACTCGCTATTCTCAGCAGAGATGTACACTCGGCAATTGTTCGACAGGCATCGAGATGAGACTTACATGTTTTTCTGTGATTTCTGTTTTTCTGTGAGTTTCGCGCGAATTGTTGACAAACTGAATTGTATCTAAAGATATAACGTCCTATGAATATTTATTATCAAGAAAAATGCCGCAGACAATAGCACAAACGGGTTTTCAAAACATCGGGCAATGCTAATATAGTTTCCAACGCATTTTTTGATAGGTGTAATTTCCCTTTAAAAAAATTGATTTCTTTTTTCAAATGCGAGAGTATCGTTGAAACTATTGAAGATGAACAAAAATATCAAATAAAAATGAAATAACTTCAAGAATACTTTACAATATTTCCAGATTTTTTAAAGTCTCATCTCAATGGATAAGGAACAAATTAATTGTTTGTTTGAAAAGGAACAAAGATCGTGCGTTGCATTGGAAGTGGCTTATCGTCGAGGGTCACGGCCGTGGCGGCGGCGGCGATTGTATTTCAAAGTGTTTTATTTTTGTTAACGTAGCATCACTATTCTTTTTCTAATCTAACAATATTTCTCTTCTTAGATATCTTTTTGACTTTTTTGAGAGGATATTTTATGTCGATATCAACCATATATAACATAATGTTATAAAATTAATGAAGTCGATCCTGAGATCTCAAAATCTTTCTGTCGAGTATCTCTATACCGAGTATCGAGTATCTCTGTATAAACTTTAAGAAATATATATATATATATATATATAATATTTGTAGAAATCTTTGTATTAAATATTGGAATTTATTAATAATACCCGGCCGCTTAATTTGCTATTTTAGTTAAATTATTAATGTAAATCACTATATGGAGGAAACAATATAAATCTGGTTATGACAACAAGATTCAATATTGAAAAAACAGCGTGATTGGCCCACATACAAATCTGATTGTGCCAACAAGATTTAATATTGAATCTTGTTGACACAATCAGATTTGTATGTAGACCAATCGCGCTGTTTTCTCCGTGAACTACTGTAAATAATTACTACAAGTAACTGCTATAAATAAAATACTATTGTAAATGAACTGCGTGATAAATGAAAAAATAAAGCGCAAAATTTTACAATAGTAAGTAAATTACGTGTCGCAAATTATTACTACTATAAATGACTGCTGCAAATGAATTATTACTGTGAATAAATGGCGTAATAGGTTAGAAAACAAAACGCAATTTTAGAGTAGCAAATAAATTGGATGCTGTTGCAGGAGAGGGAGAGAGGGAGTGGGAGTATGTTGCGTTATTGAAAAGATGAATGTCTCGTTGTGACGCGAAGGCTCGCTGGATTACCCGCGTTATTTACGAGCGAAATTCGTCGGTAAGGAAGATCGATTCTCGCGAGGCCGATCCCTTCGGTATACAGTGCGTTCTGGCGATCCATCACATTTTCAAAACCGCCCCCGCGTCGTCCTCTTTTTCTCTCTCTCTCTCTCTCTCTCTCTTTCTCTCTCTTGCTTCCTCCACCGCAACCTCCGCGACGAGCCGGAAATGAAAAGGAAACATCGCGAACATTAATTCTACAAAGGCGCGATATATCTCGTCCCGGTGTGTATGACGAAATTTGCATTAAACGGGATTTCGCAGACTTCGTATTTCGTCGAGCCCTCCCTTTTGCTCTCCCGTCGTCCCGTCCCCTCCTCTACGCTCCTCTCCTTCACAAACCTCGATGATACTTCACTTTCCGCCCCCGGGCTACTCCAGCCACCCGCGTTCTTTACTCTTCATACAACCCCCCGTCGTCGTTTGTAATATTCTCTCTATATTGACTGTCCGACGTTTAAGCGATTCTGAATGTTACGAGAAATACGAAGAATGATAGATTTTGTCTGCTATCCGTAGCGCCTTCAAAAAAAAATTATTAATCGTCAAACGGCGGATGGAGCAGTTGTACGAATAATAGTGGATATGCATTCTTTCAAAGAAGAAATTAAAGAGAAAAATTTAAAACTTACGAAATATTATTATTATTATCTTCATTATTATTGTTACTTTGATTATTTCTCCAAAGATATATCCTTTAATATGATATATAATATAAAATTATACATATTGATGTATAAAATCTTTAATATAAAGATATATCCTTTAATATAATGTTTAATATTGATTTCGATATTATAACTTGGCAAAATAGAGGAAACCAGGTTTTGTTCTTACACTTTTTACACACTCGTTTAAGAAAAAAGATGTAATATTTTTTAATATTGTTATTTTCATGTAGGTTATGTAGGTCATGTAGGTACAACCTTTAGATAAGAGAAAAAACATTCTTATATACACACACACACATATATATATATATATTTATTTATTTATTTATTTATTTATTTATTTATTTACAAAGAAGTTATTAAAATGTAAATAAAAACGTATAAATGTGATTATCTACCTCATACACAGGATTAATTGTCACATGTCTTTCATGTAAAGGAAACAAGATAAATTATTTCTATTTAGGTTGAAAATGTTTTATCAAAGTTAGTGATATTTTATAATCAGGTATAATAAAAAGTCTTGAATTAAGAAGATAATAATTTTCATAAACCTTGTGATAATAACTTCACGCAGACTCACTGTTGTGATATATATAATATAATACATATGCGATATGTTCTTGCATAAATCACGTCATAACTAAAACTACACGACGAATTTGCAATGTGTAACAATTAATTCTACTTAATTTAGGTCAACTTAACCTGAAAAGTCATTTGAAATAAAAGAGGATATATTTATAAATATATATAAATATATTTATAAATTATGTTGAAATAATTGTTAACTAAGTATTGAAAAAAATAGCTAAACCCATAACATTTTTTACAAATAAAAAGAGAGATTGTGACCAGAAATTCCAAAACCAACAGATAAATGTAGAGACAAAAAAGTTTACTCACTTAAATAACGAGTTGGCGAACACAAGACGTGAAACTACAATTTCACGATTTTCAAAATATATTTTCCAGAGTACGCACAAAAAGCGTTTCAAGTGAATAAATGTTGCTTTACATGTTCGCCATTTTCTATACCTCTTGAAATAATTGAGGAATTACTTCATCAAGTGTCTGTATTGACATTCTGAGACCTTGTGTTCGAAGATTACATCTTATTCTCTAATCAATATACAACAAAGACCTTAAGAAACCTCGCTTCGCCGTTGGCACGCAGGCAATTTAAAATAGCCTACGCTCGTTCGTAAATACATTCGCGTCCTTCGTGAAGCCTCGCTACGACGATTTCGCACATTCGATCCCTCGTTTTTATCTCGATCTCTCTCGCGAAAAATTGCGGTATCACGCGATTTTTCTTTCTTTTCATCCGAGGATGAGAGAACGATCTAAATTCTCGACTCGTGCGCGGAGACGTAGGGAGATAAGGAAGAGAAAAATATATAGAAATAACGCACGCACGTTCGCACGCACGCACACGGGTAATCAAAGCGAAGGCGCCGATAATAATACGTAGAGGAGGAAGGGAGGACGCGGGGCGAGAGTTTTTCGCGCGCCCGTCGAAAATTTTCCCCCGTGACAAATGGCGCCAGTTTCTCTCGTGCGTCACGCAATTTCCTCTTCTCGGTAAAGGACAGGCTTTATTCGCGGCCCGAAGAACCTCCCGCCCGCGGATATTCGCGTCGTGACACGTGCGAGTAACCAACTCTACAGGGTGTCCTAAAAAATGGTGAGTGTTCCTTGCCTCAGCCTTTTCCCTCTCCTCTTTATTAAGTTAATTCTGACTGGATTTTCCCTCAAGATTATGATGTTATATTTGACATGAATTCCTGTTCTTCTAATTTTCTCTTAATACTTCAAGGTGTACGTTTGTATTATTTACGAGATTAATTAAAAAAATTCACTTAAGGAGATTTCAGCTTGGAAATTTTATCTATAAAATATTCACCTTTTTCTGCAAAGTTTATGATTGATTGCGTAAAATTATAAATGTTTTTATGAGTCACACATAATTGACGAAAACGATATAAATTTCAATTTGCGTAAATACACTGCTCAAAAGAAATGTGGCACCAAGAAATTACAGACAAAAATAGTTGAAATTTGAACAAGCATTACTCCGTAAAAAATCATCGTACATCTTTTCTCTTTTGGTTTCAAGGCTGAAGGGTTTACTGTACACTATTGTTTGAACTTTGTTTTATAATATCCTCGTCCCGCTATCCTGTCCAAAAAAGTGGGCGAATTACACAGTAATGTTCATTTAAATTTCACCTATTCTTGCCTCTAATTTTTTCCATGCCATATTTCTTTTGAGCATATTTCTTTTAGCAGTATTTGCCTAATACAACATTTCTACAGCTTCTACATGCCCAACATATGTTTGCTCCGCTCAAGAAAATTTGAAAGAACATTGCTTTGTATCTTTACAATTGAACTTAGAAGTTTAAAAATAAATAAAGTTTGCAGAAAAATTTTTATATGTATATGGTCGAATTTTTTCTGTTAAATATGATGAAATAAAGCAGCAAATTTTATTCCAGTTAGTAACAGATTGCTTAATTTTATTCAATCACGATGAAGAATGTTGATTCGAAAGATAGAAAATTCGAAAGCTAGCTCGAAAAGCTAAAAAATTTATTTTGTTATTACCAAATCAATTTTTTCTATTTCTTAACTGTAATATTATTCCGATTTTAATGAAACTCGGGGTAATGTATTTATGTTCTAAAAGGACTATTGCGCGATTTTGTACCCGCTATTCCTCTCAAGATAAATACTAAAAAGAGCAGATGAGTAACACACCCCTGGGGCCATATAGCCCTGGTTTTCCCTATGCTTAAGTGATCAGAAGTGATCAGTCTTTTATACAAATATCTTTTTATTTGAAAATGACACGCAAGAATTTCAGAGATATATGCGTTTTCTCACTTCTGACGCCACCAATTCGGAGCTGTACGGCGAGTATCCAATGCTGCGATTTTGTAACTCATTATTGGAGTTAACGACAATTTTGTTATCGTTGCGCAACTTTTGTATACTGTAGAAAAGCTGCGCAACGATAACGAAACTGTCGTTAACTCCAATACAAGTTACAGAATCTCAGCACTGGAGTCTTAACTTCGTCAATATGTTCGACTCACCAACAAGTAACTGGACGCGTTGCTGTCGGTGGACTCCCTCTTCCTCTGCGCCCCGC